AAGTCCCCACGGTTTTTGTAAGATCAAAAGACGGGGAAGGAGCCAACCCAAATCAACTGATAACAGGTTTCTTATTAACCTTTGTAAGATGTAAAGTCAGCCAGACTGACTTTTATCAAAAACAAACAAAAAAACCCCAAATACCACACATTTATTATTACTTTAAGGTTACAAAACAACTGATATCTATTTTTTTTTTTAAAGATTTTATTTATTTATTAGAGAGAGAGAGTGAGCACGAGACGGGGGAGCGGGAGAGGGAGAAGCAGACTCCCCGCTGAGCAAGGAGCCCGATGTGGGACTCGATCCCAGGACTCCAGGATCATGACCTGAGCCGAAGGCAGTCGCTTAACCAACTGAGCGACCCAGGCGCCCCCTGATATCTATTATTATACAAAATTCTGTGTATGTGCATTAGGGACATTTTTCTAGAAGGTCTTCATCAGATTCTCAAAGGGGCATATAATTCCCAAACAGTAAAAAGTCACTCATCTAACATAATACAACTTCCTTATCTTAAGAGATGAAGAGAGTAGAACCAGAGGAATGAAGTAACCTGAACAAAGCCATAGAGCTGGTCACTGCCCAAAAGATACCACTCTTTTTTTCTTTCCACTAAAACAATAAGCAAGAGACCAAGCCACATATAGAGGTTGGTTCTGATATACATTCTGGTAACAGATAGTTCCTCAAGACACCACTTTTAACTTACCAACTTTCGGGGAACCAGACTACAGTTAATCCTAAAACAAAACCCGTTCTCTTCATTACCTGTGTCATTAAGCTTTTATTCTATCCCAGGCACTGTCTGAAGTGTACCCATACGTTTACTCATTTAATCTTCACAACCCTAAATTAGGTACTGTTAGTATTCCAGCTTTATAGATGAGAACACTAAACAGAGAGATTACATAATTTGCTCAAGGCCACGTAGTGTGTGTCAGAGTCGGGATTTGAACCAAGGCGGTCTGGTTCCTGAACTTACATTCTTCTTTGGGGGAGGGGGAGGGAAGAGGGGAAATGGGTCATTTTTTTAATTGATGATTACTTTACAGAGTGTAATGCATAAATATTAAGTGAACACCATGGGTCTTGATAAATGCATACATCTATCTAACCCATACCCCGATCAAGACAGACCACTACCCCAACACCCCCTCCCAATCCTGGACAATCTCTTCCATCAAAGCAACCATTGTTCTTACTGCTGCCATTACCACACACTAAGTCTGTTTTAGAACTTCACATAAATGGAATTATACTGTATGTCTATTTTTGTTATCTGGTTTTTTTTTTTTTTTTTTAAAGATTTTATTCATTTGAGAGAGAGAGAGGGAGAGAGTGCACAAGCAGGGGGAGAGGAAGAGGGAGAGGGGGGAAGCAGACTCCCCACGGAGTAGGGAGCCTGATGTGGGACTCAATCCCAGGAACCTGGTATCACAACCTGAGCTGAAGGCAGACGCTTAACCATCTGAGCCACCCAGGCGCCCCTGGCTTCTTTTTTTGCTCAATGTAATACTTCTGAGATCCCCACATGTCTTAGCTATATCAATCATTCCTTTTTGTTACTTAGCATTCCCTTGATTTATTTATAATCTATCAGTTCTTTCCATCTGGGGCTTATGGAGGTCTTTTTGTAGATATGTTTTCATTTCTGTTGGGTAGTACCTGTTGAGTCATAAATTTATGTTTAATTTTATAATAAATGGCTAAATAATTTTCCAAAATAGTTCTGCCATATTATACTACCCCCAAGAATGAGTTGGGGTTCCAGTTATTTCACATCTTTGCCAGAATTCGGTGTTGTCCGTCTTAATTTTAATAATTCTCCAGGGTACATTCTGGTAGCACATTGAGGTTTTAATTTTCATTTCCTGATGACTAATGATGTTGAGGGCTCTTTCAAAGGCCTATTGGATATGTGTGTACCTTTCTTTGTGAAGTGTCTGTTCAAGTGTTTTACCCATTTTTATAGAATTGACTCTTTATTACTCATTTGAAGTATTTTATATAGTCCATATACATGTCCTTTGTCAGATACATACAGAGAAGGCAAGTATTTTCTCCCTCTCTGTAGCATGTCTACGCATTTTCAAGTTCATTGATCTTTTCGTCTGTAGTACCCAATCTGTTGTTAACCCCTTCAAAAAATTTTTGTTATCATATTGTTTTCAGGTCTAGAATTTCCACTCAGTTCCTTTTTTGTAGTTCCATTTCTTTTCTGAGATTCTGCATTTGTTTACTCATTACGTTTTAAAGGCCTTGTATGCTAATTTCAACATCTCTGTCATCTTTGGATCTGTTCCTATTGACTTGTGTTTCCTTAGGTGTGTAGTGTCACATTTTCTTGCTTCTTGCTTATCTAGTAATATTTGTTTGGATAAATGGATGCCAAGCTGTGAGAGTATAGATTTTGTTGTCTTCCTTTCAATAATGTTGAGTTTTGTTCTGGTAGGCAGTTTATGTACAGAGGATCAATTTTATCCTTTCCCGGTTTGTTTCTGGGCTTTGTTATGGCAGTTCCAGGGTAGTCCTCACTCAAGAGCTGGAGTAGTTCTCCTGAGTGTGGAGGTCGACTTGCTAGGTTCAGTTGAACACCTGAGTTGCTCAGCATGGTGTCTCCACTGTGGCTGGTTGGCCTCTGATATCTTCCAGCACCAGGCACCTCTGGACTCTCCATTATCCCACAGCTGTCCCACAGCCACTCTTGGCCAGGGCATGCAGACTTGCCCTGCACAGATGCAGTGTGGTATTTGGGCAAGGACTCAGGGAAACCCCTTTGTAGATTTCTGGAGACACTTCTCTGTGAAGCTCCCTCTTCTCCAGAATCCTCCCCCAAAACTGCAGCAGGCTCAGTAGCTAAAATACTGATTTCTGTTTCCTCCACCCTGACTGCTGCTCTCTGGCTCCACTTTATTTTGTCGCAGTTTGGAAAGCGTCCCCAGGGAGAAAACTGGGGCAAATTTGAAGCTCATCTTTTGGTTTCTATTCCCTCAAAGGACACAGTCCTGTGTCTGTGGTCCAATGCCAAGAAACAGTTGTTTCCAATACTTTGCCAGTTTTTTATCATTCTTTATGGCAGAAGAATAAGTCTCTGATAGCCCAATATCCCAACCAGGATCAAAGCTTTGAGTGTCCAGTCACACTGTTAGTTCAGATGGCTTATGAAGTTCTTTTTGATCTGGTCTCTGTCTAGCTCTCCAGCTTTATTACAAGACTTATGCTATCTGTGTAATTACCCACCTCAAGCATAGAGGCACACTCAAACAGGTACACACATTCATGTTCCAAACAATGAACGATTTTCAATTCTTCAAAGGTGCTAGTGTTTTCCCCCTCTCTAGGCCTTCCTTCATGCTATATTCTTTCCTATACAGCTTGCATCATTCCTCCTATCCCTAGGCTCTTTTCTGTCTTTATGAATCAGCTTGAACATTTCCTTTAGTGCTTGGGTCATGTGCTCCCATAGCAGCCTATGTTTTTCCCAATCGAAGACATTATATGATAGTTTCTTATTTAAAATGAATTGTAGGTTCCTGCTTGGTGCTAAGTTCTACCGGGGGGGGGGGGGAATGTGAGGATCATCCTGTTTTGACTATCATAAACGTTAGTCACCGACTATTGTATGACTTGTGAAAATGCCAAGATTTAGACTAGTAAAAACACGGACAAACCTGCTCTTTTGATACTCCAAGGGAATTTATTTGATGTTCTACTGTAATGATTAGTAACCTACACACACAAACCTTGCTTATGTTGCTTTGGGTGTCCTGAATTGCCCTCTAACTATACAGCCTTCAAGGCAGATTTTCTTGTTTCCATCATTCACCTCCCTTCACTCTTCCCTGTTGCCTTTACCAACTAAACTATAATTTATTTTTGGTACTAGGTAATTATTGAAGCTATCATAAAGCTCTTACCTTAAAGAAACATATTTTGACACGTTCTCATAAGACCTATCCTCTGAAAAAAACAAGCAAGCCTATAACTTTTAAACCTTTTACAAGTATTTTTGTGACCAGGTAGGGTCTATATACATTCTTAGCTCATAGGCACAGGAGTGAAATTATAAGTACAATTCTTCTGACCTTTGTAGACTGAGAAAAGAATTCAAACTAGACACATTATGAGTTCCTTAATTAATATAGTGGCTAATGCCAAAAAGAAATGCAGAGCTAAGACATTGGAGCTAATGGCCCTACATACGCTAATGGGACAAAGTAACCAGTTGGATGGGATCACAAGGCTATAATGATATGCTTGTCCTTCAAATTCACTGATAGATACACACAGATTTCTCAACAGCAATTCAATTTGAAAGGCAGTTCAAAACATACACACTGACTGCCTACTATAGGTAATGTTACTTCCACCCATGAAAGTCCTCAAAAGAAATTTTCAAGCAAAGTAAAAAAAAAAAAAAAAAAAAGCACTTTCCTGAGAAAGAGAAATAATATATATGGCTTAAAAGCAAGTGAAAGAAAAGTAAGAATGAAGACTTTTGGGAAATACTAAATAAAATGTTGACACAACTGACCTCTTGTGGTCCTTCTAATTTTTAAGATTTAAGAAGTCAATAATTTATAGGGTTTTTTTTTTTCATTGTAAGACATCAAAAAAATTTACCCTCCTCCATGGATTTATAGTTAAGACACTAAACAATTCAGGTAAAAATACTTATCTGCAGGTGACCTCATGCCTCTTTGGGAGAAGGGTGGGGTAGGGGTGGGGTGAACAGAATGGCTATCCAAAAGCAACACATAGAGAAGATTATCATATGGAAAGAAATACACTTCAGTATATAATTTCTCCAAACTACAACCAGGAGCTAGTATCGATTGCAGGCACTTTGTTATTTATATACTTTTTCTTTGGAGTTAATGGAGATGTCACAACTTCAGAAAGAAAAGCTGCATATCATATCTATGGACCAATGAAGAGTCCCAGCAATTTAAAAGGAAATAAGGTGAAATAGTCAAAATTATGAAGCCATTTCTTACCATTGATGTCACCACCAAAGCTGGAGAAAACCCCATTGTGAGATAGAAAAAGAGCTCAACCACCTTATACCTGCAGGATAGAAAGGCAGTTAATTGTATCTATTCCTACAATACTTATGACAATTTCCATTCCAGCTCCCCCCACCTTTTTTTTTGAAAAAGAAATGCAAACTCTTAAACTATTCCAATGAATATATTTTCCCAGGAGACCACTAGGCCTCTAATTAAAATACTATAGTTGGGTCACAATGAACTAGCATTTCTTATAGGATTGAAATGGCATCAAACACCACATGCGACTTGGAAAATGTTTGCTACCAAAAGTGTTATTACTGCATCCAATCCACCATGCATTTTCCCCCTCCCAATTCCAGAGTGTTTGCCCTCCTCACCACTCCAATCCACAGCTATAAGAAACTGAAATTATGGGGGCGCCTGGGTGGCTCAGTTGGTTAAGCTTAAGCGACTGCCTTCGGCTCAGGTCATGATCCTGGAGTCCCTGGATCGAGTCCCGCATCGGGCTCCCTGCTCGGCAGGGAGTCTGCTTCTCCCTCTGACCCTAACCCCTCTCATGTGCTCTCTCTCATTCTCACTCTCTCAAATAAATAAATAAAATCTTTAATAAAAAAAAAAAACTGAACTTATGAAGACAGACAGGGATGCTGCGTGGGGCTGAGTTTATCAGTGGCAAAGGGCTGTTAGCCCTAAGGAATGAAGGGCATGTAGTTTTGTTTGTCTCTTTATTTTGCAGCTGCACAAACTCCAACTTGTAAGGCTCATCGCATTAGGCTATAGAATGTCTGAAAATGCTAAGAAATACACTGTACTAAGATTCAGCTCACATTTCTGCCTAATCAAAGTGGGCTCTAAGTTCCTTGGAGGCAGGGGCCAAGTTTCATTTATGTTCGTTTCTGCAAGGCCTAGCATAGTACCTGGCATGATTTAGACCCTCCCTAATACTGCCCAACCAAATGTCCAGGGGCCATTCACATCTCATTCTCCGTGTTTTATACTCAGAGTCCACTATGAAGTAATCTTATCAGGGAACTGGGGAAGAATGGGTTTGTGGGTTTGGTTTAAAAGGAGGCCTGGAATAGGAGAAAAAATAGCTATTTTACTTTACTTTCTATTTTATCCAAGGATATAAGTTAGGGGTTTGAGCCCAAGAAGCAAACTGTTCCCTTGGATTTATATATATACTATATAACACCACTCAGAATAGCTAATTGTGGTCAAAAATGCAACTTAAGTGAATTTCAAAGTCATAAGTTAGTGAAAACTGCCATTTTCTTCTGAAAAGAGGAAACAATACTTTGTGATAAACACAAATTATGTTCAATTCTTAGAGCCATTCTGCCAATGACAATAGATAAGCTAATAAACTGTACTCAAGGACAATGATTTCATGCTTGTGAATTTCTCAAATTCAGGCATGTGAAATAATGAAAAGAGCCATGGGGTAAGAACTAAGACTCTTGGGTCCTAATTCTAGATGAATCACTAATTTGATGCACATCCTAAATGGTCTCATTTTTTTAAGCATGAAGCTGGAATAGATGACTTTGAAGGTCTCCTCTAGAGCTGTGATGCTAAATTTCAATAAGCTTTCCTTTTTATATTGCTTAATACTTATGACTATGGACTATAGATAACGGGTTAAAAAATGTGCCCCATGGTTAGGATATTAAGAGTTCAGATGCTCTTCCAAATATCCCCTTTCTCAGGGAATCCTAGTTTGGAACATCTTCTGGGTTCCTATCTAGGTTAAGTGTTGTTCCAGTGCTTATCTATTATCTTCAATCTTCATTGAAAGCTCAAAAAGCAGTTTTTATTCTCATGGATCACAGAGGAAAAGGCTAGTTTGCTGATAAGGCCAGTCGCCTGAGGATGTGAAGTGACATCCGACTGACTAAAATGGCAGTTGGTCTGTCCCTCAAATGCATCCTATCACACATGTGCCATTTAGTTCTTCCCACAGCAATCTGTCTACCAATAATGAACACCAAATGGCTTCAAAGATTTGTTAAAAGCAATATATATTCTATTTATGTATTTCTACTCTTCTGAAGTGTAAATATAAAGCAAACTGTGTCGTAACATCAACAAAATTTAGGTAGTTAATTTTAAAACTATCAAATGTAAATTATTTTCTCTTACTTTTCATGGTAGAGAAATACATAAATGGTTCCTCCAGCTGCCATGAGCCAGATAAACCAACGCATATGAGATGCCAGGGGTCCAAGTTCACGGAGATTTAACCTAAAAAAATGTAAACATGACAAAAAAGAACAGAAGTGATAAATGAAGGGAATTCACAGGACCTGTGTTTTCCTCTAGGCTTGAAAACTGGGCAAGCAAGTGCTAGCATAAACCAGGATGAAAAGGTATTCAACATGCCATGGAGGTATTCAGGCAATTTAGGTAAAATTAATAATTCAAAGATAAAATTGTTAGTTGACCTTTAAGACTTAGAATTAGTTCCAACGTGGTTTAAAATAGAACTAGCTAAAAGGAGATATGCAGAAGTGAGTCCCACCACACCTGTGATGCCCGACTTTCCTTATTAGGCAGACTGCTGTCAAATCAGCTTAATTCTGATAATATATTTGGGAGCAGATTGCTTACAAAGCTTAATGAGTACCCTGAACAGAATCCTCAACCAGGATCCCATACCCACAGCAGATACCTAACACATAGACCAAGTATCTCCATTCCCAATATCTCTGCCAAGGGAGAACATGAGAAGAGTTAGCTCAACATATGTTATGAAAGACATTTTGTCAGAATTTAACTGTGGGCTCTTGTAAAGCTTGAATTTTAAGATGCTGCAAATTCATTTGTACTCATTTCATATTAAGAATAGCTATGATAAAAAAAACCCAAATGTTATTCTGATTGGCTATGACTACAAAATTATTTCCAAACAGAAAAGGCACCACCTACCTATTGAAAACAACATGTGAACGGGTTGCTTACTGTAATATCTGATCCCTCAGCTTTTAAAAATTTTATTTCCTTATTTTAAGTCAGGGAATACTTCCCAAAAGTCTGTAAGTGTTCCTGCTCCAATATGATGCAGAGCTATAATTTAGTGACAAGTATTAGGGAAAGAAGACACTTTTTTATTCCAACAGATAATTAGGTTTCTTTTTAATGACTGATGCTGCATAAGTTAGAAAGTAGAGGCCTGCTGTTTCTAGTGACTACTGCAGTTGAAATTCACAAAATGAATTTCTGAGTGTTTAAAACTGAACCATGTCTTGATAGAGGGAATCTAATGTTCCTTTAATCATAGGTTTCCAGGCAACAAAAGATTCTATCTGACCTATACCCAAAGGGCAGAAAGAGCAAAAATTGAATAGAATACTAGGTATTTTATTTTTTTTAGTATTTCATTTTTTTTTTTTTTAAGTAATCTCTACACCCAACATGGGGCTCAAATTCACGACCCCCTCCTCCAGCCCCCCCCCCCCCCGCCTGAGATCAAGAGTTGCAGGCTCCACCCACTGAGCCAGAATACTAGGTGTTTTAAATAGCTAACTAATTAGTTCTCTTACTTGTACGGCTAAAGAAATGAGAAGTGCACTCCATATATAGCAGCTACTGTGCTGTGGAGTGAATTGTAGACAAATAGGATAAATTTCCAAAATGAGCCTGTTTTCCTCACACATATTTACAGCATTTCCACTTAAATGATCAGATGTCCAAGTATTCTGAACAGCCGCAGTATATAGAAAGAACATGGAAGGCAAAGGTGACATATTTCAAAATGAGGGTGCTACCTACACACAAGTTCCTGGCACTTCCTCTTGAACAATCCAATGCCAGGTATATATTCTGAACAGCAGTGACATTCTTCCCTTAAAATCTGCAATCTGGCCCAAGTAGAAAAACAAACAAACATGTATGCATGTGTTGGAGGGAGAGGGGTGGGGTATACGCATGGGGCAGGGAAAGGAGGAAGGGAAGGAAGGAGGACAGAAATTCTATCCCAAAACACACTACCTTCAAAAATAGAAAGGCAGTATCTTACCATGGAGCATAAGAAGCAGCAATGAAGAAATAAATAACCATTCTATCACACATGTGAAAACAATGCTCCACTGTCCTAGTGGGGGAAAAAACATGTTAGGCAAAGTCTTTAGAAAAGTTTCAGACTGGCAGCATGGGTTATCACTCCACCATGTTGTAATTTCCATTCCTGTTCTAGTTTCTTGTCGAAGTTATAACTTGGCTTTCAAAGTCACACAGCTATTTTTTTTTATTTAAATTCAATTAGCCAACATATAGTACATCATTAATTTTTTATATAATGTTCAGTGATTCATTAGTTGCATATAACACCCAGTGCTCATCACATCACGTGCCCCCCCTTAATACCTATCACCCGGCTACCTTCTCCCCACCCCTCTTCCTTCTATAACCCTCAGTTCGTTTCCTGGAGTCCAGAGTGTCTCATGGTTTGTCTCCCTCTCTGATTTCTTCCCGTTCAGTTTTCCCTCCCTTCCCCTGTGGTCCTCCGTGCTATTCTTTATGTTCCACATTTGAGTGAAACCATATAAGTGTCTTTCTCTGCTTGACTTACTTCACTTAGCATAATCCCCTCCAGTTCCATCCATGTCAATGTAAATGGTAGGTATTCATCTTTTCTGATGGCTGAGTAATATTCCATTGTATATACGAACCACATCTTCTTTATCCATTAATCTTTACACAGCTATTTTTAATAATACAAAGCCACATGTAAAAGCTTTACATTATTTTTAAGCTTGCACATACGATAGTCACCATGTATGAGATACAGGGGCAGAACCCCACAGTAATCAGGAGCTCTGAATTTATTTTGGTTAAAATAAACAAAATCTGTGGTTAAAATAAACAAAATCTGTGTGGCTGATGTTTTCCATTTCTTTTAGATCCTATGTAATAGAAAAATGAAATTCCTTGAGGGCAGACCACCCCTCAACCATCCCTCAACCCCTATCACTATGCAGGGCAGGAAGTAGTTCTTCATCTTTCTAGAATGTCTTCAGAGAAGCTCTCACTTCAAATATCTTAGTGTATACAATAAGTTATAATAAAGGAAATTCAGAAACTAATTTAGGAACAGCAATAACCAAAACCAAAAAACAAAAAAACGCATTTGCTGCAAGCAGGTAGCCACCTGGATTTCTAAGTGGGTTCCTCCTTTCAAAACTGAAAATTCAGGAGGTGTACAAAGATCTGGCTCACTGAGGTCTAGTCACCCAACGGATTAGACAGAATCTGCCCTTTACTGAGGTGATTTAAAAGTATGAATGCATTGCAAGGTCTTGAATCCATTTTCAGCATTCAAGGGTGATAGCTGCGGTTTGGTTTAGGGCTAGTGTTAAGATTTTGCCTCACCACATACACAGTGTCAACCAAAGCAAGCTGAGGATGTTTTCGTGACAGTTATTGTTAGTTATATGTTAGTGACGTGAAAATAATTTAGGTCACAGGTCTAAAAAAGCAAACAGGGCGCCTGGGTGGCTCAGTTGGTTAAGCGACTGCCTTCGGCTCAGGTCATGATCCTGAAGTCCCTGGATCGAGTCCCGCATCGGGCTCCCTGCTCAGCGGGGGGTCTGCTTCTCCCTCTGACCCTCCCCCCTCTCATGTGCTCTCTCTCATTCTCTCTCTCTCTCAAATAAATAAATAAAATCTTAAAAAAAAAAAAAAAGAAAGAAAAGAAAAAGGAGGGTGCCTAGGTGGCTCAGTTGGTTAAGCGACTGCCTTCGGCTCAGGTCATGATCCTGGAGTCCTGGGATCGAGTCCCACATCGGGCTCCCTGCTCCGCGGGGGGTCTTCTTCTCCTTCTGATCCCCTTCCCTCTCGTGCTGTCTCTCATTCTCTCCCTCTCAGATAAATAAATAAAATCTTTAAAAAAAAATAAAATAAAAAAACAAACACTAGATTAATGCTTCTCAAACTTGACTGCATATCACAATCACCTGGGAAGCTTATAAAATATAGCCATAAACTCTAGTCCAGAAGATTGTAATTTTTAAAATGGCTAGAACATGGGGTACAGGGTGGAGGGAAGAGGAGAATCTTTTATTTTTTTTTTTAACTCTTTGGGTGATTGTAATTCCTAGCCAGGTCTGGAGCCTTTCTAATTCAGCTTTCTAGACTGCTATGCACTTGTTACAGCAGATAAAGTCAGACCTATAATTTCATTCAAGATCCACCTCGGCTTCTCTGACCCTCACTTTCCTCACAGGGGAAATAGAAATGGCAACATTTCTATCATACAGTATGTGTGAGCATCAATGAGATCACGTAGAGCATGTGTTCATGAGCACAGCATCTAGCACACAGGAGGCACTCAATAAATGCTCATTTCCTTCTAATAAGGCTATATTTGGATATTAAAAAAAAATTAATCCAGGGACGCCTGGTTGGCTCAGTCGGTTAAGGGTCTGCCTTTGGCTCAGGTCACGATCCCAGGGTCCTGGGATCGAGTCCCACTTTGGGCTCCTTTCTCAGCAAGGAGCCTGCTTCTCCCTCTCTCTGCCTGTCTCTCTCTCTCTCTGATAAATAAATAAAATCTTAAAAAATATATATATATATAAAAATTAATCCAGAGCAAAAATCCACATATGGCTTGATTCTAGCAGTGCTATTCCAAAGTTCAAGAGAGCCTGGTTTCTATTACACCTTCTTCAGCCCCTGGGAGGGAGGCCCTGAATTCCGAAGGACTCATCTACAACTCTTTATTGATTCAGAAATCTAGACATCAAAGCCAAGTCAGCCGAGGCAACCACAAGCGTTGGATTGTGCCAGGAAGATAATGAAGTACTCTGGCCTCTGGTCTCTGTGACAGTGTGTGCTGGGGAGACAGGTACTTTTGAGGCCCTCTTGTGAATATGCCCCAGCAAGCCCTCATGATCCAATGCTGTGGTTTTATTTTAGGCCCAAGGAACGGTCACCTTCTAGGCACAGGTAGCAGGCTGGGAACTATAAGCAGTATTGAGAAGGGTGTGGATGAAAAACCCCTAGGACTGGGAGTCAGAGGTCTTAGAATGATCAGACTCTGCTAGTCTCACTGATCTGAGCTTCAGTTTCCCCAGGTGAAAATCAAGGGGTTTGAATTAGATGTCCCCTAAGGATCCTTCCTGCTCTGAAACTATGATTCTACTTATAAGGAGACCAGTAATCATCTCATGAATCCCAAACCCTGTTCTTAAATAACACGTCTTTTTAATATTAGATTGTTTGAATTGTTTGAGATTTTTTTGGGCATTCTGTAAAATCAAAAGCTATATTCTATTATTTTAAAACACTCTAAGTCTGCTCTGAATCCTCCTTTTACGAAAAGAAATTTTGTGCTTTTGGGTTGTACAGAATGTATTCCATAAGCAACTAAATGGTGTGCTTCTCCCTTTGTATGCCCCCAAATTAATCTTTCACTCAAAGGAGGAATGCTTTTATGTCCTTATTGGGAGGCTAGTGGGCCTGCTTTGGGTTGGAAAGTACCTGACAGCTAATACGTGAATTCTGTTTGAATAGATACACAGGACCTAATTCTGAAAGCTAAACTTTGCAAAACAGTAAACCCAAACTGTAGCAAACCTGCTTACATGACAAAGTCCTGGTCATTTATAATTTTCAAATCATTTTGGTGGGCATTATCTCATCCATCTGTCACAGTACCCTGGGAGTCAGGCATTATTATTCCTGTTTTAGTGATGAAGAAACTGAGGCTCCATGGGGTCAGGTGACTTACATAATGTTGAGTGGTAGGGCCGGGCTGCCTCCAAGTTCAGTGTACTCTGTCCCTTCCCACAGCCGCCGCGCTCTTACATGTGCTACGCTTGATAACATTAAAGGACAGGTCTTAGGATTTTATGATGTATAAGTCATGGGGAAGCAGTGTGGTTTTGTTGGTGGCTTCTGAGAAAGGCCTGCTTTCTTAGATACATATGGGGGTCCTCTAAGTCTGTCCAATCCATTGGAAATTTCCTGAATAATGGCATAGCATTATAGTCTATGAGGCAAGAAAATGTCTATCTACTCTGTAGCTTCAACCTGACTGAAACATGCCAGTAGGGAAGGCTACCCTGAGTGTGCTACTCTGATCTGGTGAATTAGCGTGCCATCCATGGTACCTTAAGTGGCTCTTCTTCCACGACACAATGTGAAATACTGTGGAAACGATGAAGAGGGCGCAGAGGCCCATCCCGTAAATCCACGCGGTGATCTTTTCCCAGCAGTCGTCCGATAGCCGATGCAGGAGGGCACTGCCCACGATGGCCGGAACGATGAGGAACTGAGGGAAAGGCAAAGAACAGTAAATACCCTGGGTTTGGCGAAACTGAGACCTCTGTTCAAAATACACAGGTTTCCCAGGGACAGTTTTAGAAAGATCATTTTAAACATTTGCCTCTAGTGCATGTGGCGGTCGGCGACAGCACGGGTCACAGCGAGTGCCGTTCAGGGCCCAGGACCCACGCCCACCCCTGGGTACCGAGTAATCGGTAATGGATGAAACATGACGCAACTGTGGCAAAGCGGATGTCTTTTATCCTAATTTCATTTACATAAGAATGTATTTCATCTTCTTCTCTAATGTGATTTAAAGTGGGTACTTAAAATATACACCACATATGCAAAAATCAACTGTACAAGCCATGTTCTGATTGTTAGTATGGATCCGTACATTCCACCAATTTGGGAGCTAGAGCCAAGTGAAAGCATTTTTGGATTATTTATTTTTAATAGCACCTTTCAAGTAAGCAAGGGTAATCCATTCTCACCTACTCGAGTAATTTTAAGAGACCATAATCTTACAGAGAATTTTGCTTTCTGTACCATAGTTTATACTCGACATGGACACAAATTTCAATGTCCGTCGTATGAGTATGAGTACCACTACTAAACTTTTTTTTGAAGACGTCACCTTTTCAGAGAAGTTTCTGGTTCACAGTAAAATTGAAGAGTAGTAAACATTTTATAATAATAAACATCCTCAGGGGCGCCTGGGTGGCTCAGTTGGTTAAGCGACTGCCTTCGGCTCAGGTCATGATCCTGGAGTCCCGGGATCGAGTCCCGCATCGGGCTCCCTACTCTGCAGGGAGTCTGCTTCTCCCTCTGACCCTCCTCCCTCTCATGCTGTCTCTCATTCTCTCTGCCTCGAATAAATAAATAAAATCTTAAAAAAAAAAAAAAAAAAAAAAAATAATAAACATCCTCAGGAAAAATAAAGTACTTTATTAGATATTAGAATAAACACACCTGGTAAAGAATGCAAACTTCAGCAATCTTATCTTTTTTCCCCGATACCTACTTTTGCCCTCTTGCAATAAAATATAATACCTCTAGATAAGATCAGCATTGAATTTTCAAATGCTGAAGTCCTCATTGGCCCAGATGATATGAGAAAATTAATGACAATAAAATAAGTTTTTCGTAAGACAGAACTTAATTATTTTGAGATTATGTCCTTTCTACTTTCTCATGTTAAAGTATCCTCTCTTTAATGAAATGATGACGATGCTTCGAAGTGTTTTTGTTTTGTTTTGTCTGTTTTAGAAACTTTACTGCTCTCTGAAAGTCAAAAATCAGGGATACAGTTTAGTAAGATGACATTTTCTGTTCTAAAAAATTAACACAGAGGTTTCCTCAGTTTCTCCCTTAACTTTGTTTTTTACAAGTATTCCTTAACTTATGACATACCCAGAAGAGATTAAGGGATCACTCAAGTCCATCTCCAGCAAATAATATTCCTAAAGGTGAGCTGTGCATCTCAATAGCCAAACTATTATATTTAAGTGCTCAATATAAGCTAAGTAATGAACACTTCATTGATTACTTTCATTGGTCAGTGGCACGGAAACTATCATGGCACTGGACCTGTAACTTTCATGAGTGTTTTGCAGTTGGTAATTAGAAAAAATAATGGATGTATATTGGAGCAATGAGTGAAGGAAGAAGCCAAATAATTATTCAAACTTTTATATTCCTTATATCCTAATCCTGCCCTAGACTTAAATATACACATACAAACACAAAACTTTTTCTTATGGGCCTGGACAATTATCTTTGGAAATAATTTTACTTTTAGCTGTTAAATTCATCAAATATTTGCTCAAGAATAAAAGAAGGAAATTCTGATAGGTATCGAAGACAATCAAATTAGGCCATGCATTTTTTAGTCCAAGTTGGTACTCTAAACATTTTGACCCTCTGGTCAAAGCTCACTCCACATAAGTGTGTCACTAAGGCAAAGACAGGGGTCAGCTCAAGTCTAAAGAATTCCACTAAATCCTTCCTGTCCCCAGAATCTAAGTCATGGGTCCAGGGAGATTGTCCACTAGAGAGGTTACTCCAAATTTCATTACTGAAGCTCTTTTACGTAATCCAGGGCAGGCACGTCAGGTACTAATTTTTCCCTTTAGCAAGATTCCAGCATATGAATTATTTAAATAAAAGTCTTTTTAGCACCCAAGACAAAAGGACATCCAGTGATAAATTAGGATGATATTTCAGTATTAATAAGTATTATCTGAAGTCCACCATTACAATACATTAAAGAGATGCTTCATAAAGTTTGATTTATGCTAAGGACTGACCAAATGGCATTGTTCTATTAGATTATAAAGGATTCTACTAGAAACCAGTTTATTTGGGTTTATTTGGCATCATTGTTTCTTTATAGAAAACACTGTAACTATTCTTTGGGGAAGAGGATTAAAGACATGAAAAGGCACAACTAGAATTCAAACAAATTTTATTATAATGACATATGTACTAACACTGTTTTGTACTGTCTAAAATAATTACATTAGCCTGTGCTAAACACTCTTCATGAAAGGATTAAGTTGGCCTCCTTCTCTTTTTCTTATCTTCAGCTATGTAGCAGCTACCTCCTTTCCCTCCAAAGTCTCACTAAATGCAACTTTCAAAGGGAATAATGAAACCAGAGATAAAGGGACATTCATAATGACACAAGAAAATGTCAATAATACGACCTTAATAGGAAAACTATGAAAATACATATTCATGAAGACAGCACGCAAATAGAAGAAATGCACCAAAGTGTTAATTTATTTCTGGGTAGTTTTGTTTTTCTTACATATTCTTCAGTATTTTCTAAATTTCTTATAATGAGCATGTTTTGCTTTTATAAGGAAGAAAAAAGTTCACTAAGAATTTAGGGATCAAATCAGTTTTCTTCAACAATGTGGAATAACATCTGCTCTGAAAAGCAGTGGATGCTGTGGAGGTGGGGACGGGGTGGCTACCTTTTTCAAGGGATCAGTTGGTAAGAAAAAACACCTTTTTCAACAACACCGTGGACTCTCCTTGCCACGTGAACACAGCTGACTGTCTTGAAAAGGTGATTCACTTCATCGCAGAGGTGACAGTCTTCATAAATAGTTGTCTTTTTGGTTTTCCTATAACTAGGGTACTTAATTATTATTCTTCTACAGAAGATCTTGTCAGAGAAAGTCAGTTTAGGATGGACAGAGCTGGCCGAGCACTCAAAGGGTTTGATGTGCTCACACAGCTTCTGGTATCATGACCCAACACTGATGCCCTGGTGGGTGAGGTCACAGAGCTAGGTATATCCAACTAACTGGGCCGAGGGTACTAGAGATAATGGCCCCTCCTCCCAGCAGAGCCCTCTGGGAAGGACACAAAGGGCAGAAAATTCGTACTCACTGCATGTGTGTAACAGTTAGCAGCATGTTCGTAACAGGTTGGTTTGTAGCGGCCATTGGCTGGGGCCCGGTGGTTCATGAACCTGGACAAACAAAAAGACATCACGTGAGACAAGCTCAAAGCATGTAAAGAACAATGGGGAAGGCTGCCAATATTGTTTAGTCTATTCTAATGGAAGAGGCAGCTGCTGGAAATACCTAGTTACGGAAACAAGACCAAAGCCACTGAACAGGTGTAAACTGAGCCAAAAGCCATGATCCAAAAGCAAATGCCCTAGTTTATAGGATTAAGTATTCTTTCAGTTTATTCAAAAGAGAAACCTCTACCAACCAAAATCAAACAGAAATCAATCATATCCACCCCCTTCAACTCATACTCCCCCATGCTAAAAAAAAAAATACATATGAATAAAAAAAGGCACAACCAAATCTTAAATCTCAGGGAAAAAAGGCAAGGGAATCTTTCTAAACTTTACAAATGCCAGTAACTGCCAGAGATACAATGCAAGGTTTCAATTTTCTCTCTCAAAATTTATAAAGCTTTATACATGGAGATCTTTACACCCTACATTCCACAATTAGCAGGCCCATCCAACTAGTTTCCCTATATTGCATTACCTGTTCCAGCACCAGACAGCTTAAATAAATGATACCTGGTTGCCTCTAGGCCACCTAAACTAGAGGTATGTTTTTACCTAGATTCTTCCTGAGTTAAAACAGTTTGCTTTCAAACCCAAATATATAGTACCTGGTACCCTGGCTATAAAATTCATACATACATACAAATGTGTGTATGTATCTAAATATCAAAATCGGTTATACATATAGACACATACCCATATTCCATACTTCCCTTTGGGCCAACTTTGTGGAAATAGCAATACAGTGAAAACCATGAATACCATGGGACCTGAAGATATGAACAGCATTCTTCCACTTAGGTAGGGAGGTGAGGATCCTCCAAAACCCAACCCACACCACCCATGCCATGTTTCATGAGGGATGCTGGTTTAGTCTGTTCTCTGGAAAAGGGGAGATGTAAATCCAGGAAGATAAAAAAGCAGCTGCCCGAAAGAAGCAGATGCAGAGAAACAGGTAAAAGGGCCCCCACAGCACTCAGGTCTCCGAGGCCCCGCTGCATTCCTGTGCAAGACGTCAGCAGGCTTTGCGCTATAAATTATCCTTTTGCTTGAGCTACTTTAAGATGGGGGGAAAAGGGGGAGATTTTGTCATCTGCCATTAACGAGTTCTGACCAGTCACACCTTATTAATTACCACGATGAAAAATGGTACCAGGCTGAACCAAATGGCAGAGACAGGTCTGAAGCATATGGTCAAGCCATCCTAAACAATGCCCAGCTTAGGAACAAAAGACTAGCATTTTCTCCCTGAATTAAAAGGGTCTGTTATCCTTAGAGCAAATAAATAAAGAGAAAATGGCAGTTCCTGTCAACCCAATACAGAGTTTAGGTGGAAAATCCAATGGGGAATGAATCTGGGACAGTGATGATATTTCACTTGGACCATCAATGGGTTAGTTATCTAGTGTGCAGAATGTATATTATTGAATGGAATTTGCCAGATGGTTTGAAAACTGTTTAAGAGAAACGTACAGTTAACAGCTTCAGAATTTATCCAAGCTATTCTCACACATAGATAAAATAAATCTTTTCTCCCCTGCTAATCCTTTAAGTAACTTTACTAATTTCCTAAGGGACAAGAGTGTTGCTACATAGCTCTTATTAGTAAAAAGGAAAATAATTGCACTCTTGAGAAGAATGCTTTAAAAGCATCCCAAGCATTCAAGGATCTACCTCATCACTCCCAGACATAACAACAGACTTATAAGTAGCATACCCTATCAGGAATTTTAAAGGGTAAAGAGGAAGGCTCCAAGATGGTAGAGGGTAGATTAAATTGAGAGTGTTCTGTTTAGGGTGCAGTAAGTAGGGTTTGTCTACCCACCACCAGGCTGAAGACTAAAATAGCAATTTATATCTCTGGCAGCCCAATCTAAAAATAGTCAAGCCATTACACAGCAACAGAGATAGACTTTCACATTTTCTCCTAAAAGCAAAGAAGCTGGGTGGCCATGTTTGTGACAGCTTCGTCCCTGCCCACCTGGAATCACTGAGAGTAAAAATAAACTCTTAAGTTGTAGGGAAAAATATCCCACCTACGTGACTTAAGGTAGTCTCTTACGGCCTGAGCCGGATTTGCACAATAAGGCAAGGGAAGAGCAAGACTGAGAGGAGCCCATCACAGTCTGGGGCTCAGTGAAAACCACTGCACAACGTGTTCTGTTGAGAAATTTACAATGCAATCAAGCCTCCAACATAGCCTCCTGAAGAAATCATTCCTAAAACCTAAATGGAAAAGCAGAAGTAAAATGCAAATTTACTTCCACACGATGAACCTATTCTATTCTCTTCTCCCAAAAAGAATGAGAAAGGTCCTCAAGTGTTACAGAAAACGGCACTCATTTATGGAAGCCGCTTCTACCTAAGGAGTAACCCTAATGGTAATCCAATGCTAGAAGAGAGTATCCATCAGGTTTCTCAGGGTTTGAGAGAAGGTAATTTAGTCCTGGATATGGGAAACATACTTTAATAAAGCTATTATTTAATTTTTTAGATGGAGGAAGGGCAGAGGGAGAGAGAATCTTAAGCAGGCTCCATGCACATCGCTGAGCCAGAAGCTGGCTCAATCTCATGACCTGAGCCAAAATCAAGACTAATGCTTAACCAACTGAGCCACCAGGCACCCCTAATAAAACTATTATTTAGTCAGGTTTGTTCACTCATTTCCTCGCTTTCTCTTTCAACACTCTCTCTTGCTTCCCTCTTACCCAGCATTCTTAAACCCCAACCTCCCATGACAGAATTTCAAAACGCTGGAGAAAGAACAGATAGCCCAAAGCACTGTGCCTTCTGAAAGTAAATCTATGACCCACCAGCATATCTCTGAGGCCCAAGGTCAAATCCCAGAAGTTGCCTTGATTCCTATGTCTTCCCCATTCTCTAAATACAAATGTTGTCAATATTACTTCCAAATATATTTCAGATCAGCCTAGTTCTCTACAGTTCCACAGACCCTACCTTACACATCAAGACATTGACATCTCTAGTCTCTACAAATACAAATCTCAGTCGGTCTCCCTGATTGTTCCCATATAGACTCTTTTCTTCATTCAGCAGCCACAATAGTCTATGAAAACCAGATCACAGCACACATCCCAACTCTGGCTTAAAACCTGCCTTTGGCTTCCCGAAGTAGCCCACAAGCTGGGTCCCACCGCTTCTGCAGCCTCAGGGAGCCACCTTCCTCTCACTCTCCACCCTCCAGCTACAACACCTCCTTTCTGCTCCTCAAACCACCAAGGTCTCATCTGGCTCCGGGCATTTGTGTTTGCTGTTTACTTCTGCCTAGAATATTCTCCTCCAGAGGTTCAACTCTCCTCACCTGTCAAGCTCAGCTCAAATATCACCTCCTCAGAGGTTTTCCTGACCATCCTACCTAAAATATCATTTCAGCCCTCCCTACCCTACCAGAGCCCTTATCAGAATTAGTAAAAACTGGGTTTTTTCAACATGTGTATTTTTTTATTTCATCTTTCCCTACTGTAATGTGAATTGCACAAAGGCCTTCTTGTCCACCATCTCATTTCCAATCCAAAGCACAATACCCAGCTTATTGCTGGAACTTAATAAGTAAGTGTTGAATGAATGAATGAATAGAAAGATAGAAATTCTGCCTGTTGCTTAACTATTTTATCTTAACCGAGAGATATCCAGTTGTCAATTAGTTCCCCTCGGGATCCAACAGGTTCTGTATGTAACAGAGAAATAGGCAATCTTAGGGCCAAAAGAACCTTGAGTCTCATGAAAGAAAATTCTTAAAGGCTAAGACCATGGTTATTCCAAGGGCTCTTTCTTTTTTTAAAAAAAGATTTTTATTTATTTCACAGAGAGACAGCGAGAGAAGGAACACAAGCAGGGGGATTGGGAGAGGGAGAAGCAGGCTTCCCGCTAAGCAGGGAGCCCGATGCGGGGCTCGATCCCAGGACCCTAGGATCATGACCTGAGCTGAAGGCAGACACTTAATGCCTGAGCCACCCAGGCACCTCCCAAGGGCTCTTTCAACAGCACTTGATGGAGGAACATAAGCCAACCCCTATACACAGCACCTTATTATTAGCCAATTTATGAGTGAGCATAGTGTTCAGGAAAAGTGTCCATTACCAGAGCTGGTGATACTGGTGGACGGCATTTAACTTAATTATCAAATAAGGGGGAAGGCATATATATAAGACTACCTTATGCCTGTAATTCAATGCTCTAAGAACATGTTTAAAAAAAAAAGGCAACAGGCAGTCCTGGAAGACTTCCTAACGCTTGTGAATACGGTGCTTTATCACATAATCAGTGTGAAGCTAACCAGTGGTCACAGGGCTGGAGCTGAAGCAAGGAGCATCCTTTTCCTTAGATTTTCGGTGTCAAGGCTGGAGAAATGAGAATGCACCGACACCATACAGTAGAAGCTCTGTGGGTCCCCGGCCTCAGCGCTGTACACATGATATTGTGTAAGCAGAAAGATAGACAAAGGTGAACTGGCAGCGTGGGTGGTGGAGAGGAATAGGAAATTTTTTTTTTAAATTTTTATTGTTATGTTAATCACCATACATTACATCATTAGTTTTTGATGTAGTGATCCATGATTCATTGTTTGTGCATAACACCGAGTGCTCTATGCAGAATGTGCCCTCTAATACCCATCACCAGGCTAACCCATCCTCCCACCCCCTCCCCTCTAGAACCCTCAGTTTGTTTTTCAGAGTCCATCGTCTCTCATGGTTCATCTACCCCTCCGATTTGCCCCCCTTCATACTTCCCCTCCTGCTATCTTCTTTTTTTTTTTTCTTAACATATATTGCATTATTTGTTTCAGAGGTATAGATCTGTGATTCAACAGTCTTGCACAATTCACAGCGCCCACCATAGCACATACCCTCCCCAATGTCTATCACCCAGCCATCCCATCCCACCCACCCCACACTCCAGCAACCCTGTTTGTTTCCTGAGATTAAGAATTCCTCATATCAGTAAGGGCATATGATACATGTCTTTCTCTGATTGACTTATTTCGCTCAGCATAACACCCTCCAGTTCCATCCGTGTCGAGGAACTTGAAATTGAATTGAAACGGGTCTACCCTTTCCTAGCCATGTGACTGTGGCACGTTCCCTTTTATTCTCTAACCCTATTTGCTCATTTATTAAACGGGTATAAAAATTTGTCTTCCAGGGTTAGAGCTAAGAATGAGATGAGTAATACACAAATACCCAGCCACTGCCTGGCACAAATAAGCACTCAATAAATGTTAGCAATTATTCTGATCAGTCAGGGATGCTGTGATAAGGAGAAAATGACTCTGGGAGAGGAGGGGCTGGGGGGAGACTCAGATGTGGAAAAGATAAAGCAAGAGAAAATATGCTCTGTGTCCCAGGGGCATTTTTCACATCCTAAACTTTTTGAGAAGCCATGTATGCATAGAGCCCTCCACTTAGGACAGTGGGCTAAGTTTCTTCACAGCCTTCCTTTGCAGAAATGGCAGAACTCTGGAAGTTTATCCAAAGCCTCAATGACCACACTTCCATTATGAACAAACCAGCAAGGTGTTCATTTCTTGTAATTTAGACATAGCCACAAACTATGGCCTAATGAAATGTTTTTATTGCAATCAAATGCTCTTCAAGGGGGTCTTGATAAATCTATCAGGAGAAGTAGCACATGCATTCAAAGAGAGTATGTCCCTCCCTCCGGTTTCTCTGTAATTTACCTACCTATAACTTTTCTGAATGCTCAAAAGATAAATAAGGAACATGCCTTGAAGAGACGATTAGTAGTACTCCCAACATTTTATGTTGTACAATCACAAAAAGGACTTTTTTTGTTAAGTTAATTTGTATTTGCAGGCTTTATGTCCAAGTTCAAATTTACCCTGAGAAATAGCTTTCCAATTCTGTATGTAATAGAGAAACAAGAAATTATGTGATCATTCAGTCTTCAAAGAAAATCAGGGGTAGGTGGAGATGCCATCAAGAAAATAAATGTTAAATATCCATTGATACTGTGTAGTCACTGAGAAAATTACAAAGTCTGTGCCACACCAAAAGAAATGCCTCTATTTTTCACCTTTAAATGAATGAAGTAGAACACAAAATCACATTACTACACTGATAATAAGGACTGGGTAGATTAGCATCCAGCAAAAGTAGTTCAGTCAGCTGAGATGATAGGATCTGAAATGAAGGGTTTCTTCTTTTCTCCATTTCTCTTAACATTGTTTTAATGTTTGTGCAAAAAAAAAAAAAAAAGCTTTTTTTTTTTCTTTCTAGAGGAGAATTCAAAGGATAGGAAAGAAATACAAATTCAATCAAATAAGGAAGGGTAATTTCACAGAATATTGCCACTGTTCTCTGAAAACAGGAAGTGCACAGATGTTCAAAGAAGTAAAACCAAATCAAACAAACCACATGCACAGGGCTTTACCAGTCATACTTGAATGTATGTTACTTTCTCCCTTAAAGCCCCTCCAACCTTCATTCCTGACTTCATGTTCTAAAGCCAGACATCATGGTTCCTTTTTGCCTTCAGAAGCACTGATACGATGTTCCCACCAAGAGAATAGTGCCAGGCATTCAACACCCTGAGTGATAAGCAATATTCATAAATTAATCCAAGTCTTCAAACTCATCACCCTTCTAAATGGTATGGCCCACCCCAACTCTTCCTATGCATTTTTGGCTCCTTTACCCTTTGGGACTAGGGGAGGAATGAGAGAAGCATAACGGGGGAGCGGGCATCGTAAGGCTTAGGGGGTTGGAAAGGGAAAAAAAAGTGCAGTTTGAAATTCTGAAATAAAAGGCAATGTTTAAAAACTCAACAATAACCTCCCTGGAAGATTTTCATGCATTCCTTTTCTTCTTTCAAATTCCCCATCACTGCACACCAAGCTTGCCTGCTAGTGAAGGTCTGGGAATGGGGCCACGGCTGACAGATTCAGACAAAGGATGGAGAGTTAAACAGGGGAGATGAACTTTCACCCACTTAAACGAAGAAGAATGGGGGGGGGGGGAAGCCCAGAGCTTCCTCTCAGATCCATGGGCCAGCCTCCATCCATTGCTAAATGTCAGAGACCCGAGAGGGGATTAAGGCCACCGTGCCTCCCTAGGCTGGCGTTCCCACCCCTCTCCCGTGAATGAGCTGCCGGCCAACCTTCCGGTCGCACCTCCTCGGTTCCTCCTCCTCATTTCCTAACACAGGCGCCTCAACAGCAGCTCTCACCACCCGAATGCTAACTTGTCCCTTCGCAGTGCCCAACACAGCACCGCCCTTGGACGCTAAACCAGCAAGCTTAGAGAACTGGCAAGGCCCGGACCTGGCCAGGCAAGGCTAAACCAGCGGAGCATGCCTCAGTTTCCCTGTTGCTAGGGCCGATCACACACACAAAGCACTAAAACGCCCGGCACCCCCTTTTACGACAAATCTCGCTGCAGGGCGCAGAAGCTGCTCGGCCCCTGTTCCGCGCGCCCCGGGAGCCCTCCAAGCTGGGGATACCGGGTGGAGGCCAAAGCCAGGGTTGGAGTAGCCGGGGTCGGCGTCTGGGGCTGGGGTTCCTGGCCTCAGAGCAAGGCACGAGCCCTGCTGGGATGGGGGTCGGTAGGATGAAGTCGGGTGAGCAGTGGGCTCCCCTGGAAGCAGGGCAGGCTCGGGGTTCGGGGTCTGGGAAGCGGGGTCACGCACGAGATCCCGGTCCTCGGAGGAGGGGCATCGCCCAGGGACCGCAGGGCGGGGAATCCCCCGGGAGCCGGTCCCGGGCCAAGGCGCGGGATCCGCGGGGGGATGGAACCAGGTGAGGAGCCGGACACACGCCGGACGGCGGGATCTGGGACCCCTGCCGGCACGGGCGGTGGGGCAGGGGCGCCATCCCTCTCTCACCGCTGGAATCGATTCTTGAACCGCATTGATCCTCCGCTCCTCCTCGAGGGCCGGGAGCTCCGTCTCGTCAGCGCCGGCCGCAGGGCGCGCGGCCCTCATCGGCTTGGGCTGCTCCGGAGGCCGCCCGCGTACCCGGCGGACCGCTCGGCGGGGCGAGGTTGAGTGGGCCAGGCCGGGGGTCGGGACAGGGCGGGGGCCAGACCGGGCGGCTGGGGGCGGGAGGGAGGCCGCTTAAACGGCCCCGGCGCCTCCCGCCTCCCGCCTCCCGGCTCCTCCCGCCTCCCGCCTCCCGGCTCCTCCGCCCACGGGCGCCGGCGCCCCGCCCCGGGGTCCGGCTCCACCCCCCAGCTCCGCCCGCCTGCGTGCGCCCACGGCCGCCAGCGCGTCACGAGATGGGCGGCCAATCAGCACCCCGAGCGGCGCGGCGGCAACGCTGCCATTCATGCCGCAGAACCCGGGAGAAGGGGGCGGAGCCTCGTGTTGGATGGGGCGGGGCTATGAGAGGAGGAGCGCTGGGAGGGCGGAGCACTCCTAGAAGGGGTGGAGTTGGACGGTGGAAACTGAAGAGGCAGAAGCCGGAGGAAGAGAAATTGCAAAGGAGGAGATGGGCCAAGAATCTTAAGAACAATTGTGAAGAACTGTCTGCGTTCTAGTCCTGGCTGTGTGGCATTCCTTCATTCTTCACCATTCATTTCTTCATAGCTCCGTTCATTTATTCCTTCACCATTTTGAGGGCCAGCTCCGCCTAGGCTATTGTGCGAGGCTCCAGGGCAGTTTTAAAAACCTTTCCTTGTCTGCCACATGAGAAGGTTGGTATCACTAAGAAACTCTGAGATTCAATGAGAACTACAAATGGGGGTATCCTCCACAGGGATCTGTTTATTGCTGTACCCTCCAATTCTTTTTTTTTTTTTTTTAAGGTTTTGTTTATTTGACAGAGACACAGAGAGAGGGGGAACACAAGCAGGGGGAATGGGAGAGGGAGGAGCAGGCTTCCCGCCGAGCAGGGAGCCCAATGCGGGGCTGGATCCCAGGGTCCTGGGATCATGACCTGAGCTGAAGGCAGACGCTTAACGACTGAGCCACCCAGGCAACCCCCCCCTTTTTTTTTTTTTTTTTATCTAGGCAGCTTCCAAATAAACCTAACAGTAGCGGTGAATCGGTAATCGGGTCCTGTTCCTAAACTTAAACCCTGAGGGCTTGCTGGAAGAGACGTTCAAAGAAAAGTGAATGATGGGTGGCTTCTTGATCCTTTCCCTTATCACTCCTGGAATTTAGGTGTGCTCCCCTCCAGGTAGACTGTCCACACCCATCCTCCCCCATCCCAAACTGGTGACTCTCAAGGGGCTATTAGGCCGGCTTGTTAGGAGTGTTCACTCTGCATGCAGTGGAGCATTGAAAAGCTGGAAATTCTTTCAACCAGAATTCTAATTCCTTTTCCTTGAACATCTGCCAACTGGGAGGTGCTTTCCATGGTTATTTCATTAATTTCCCCAGGAACTCCAGGAGACAGGCATTATTTTACTCATTTCACAGATAAAGAAGCTGAGAAGTTTAAAAACTTGCCAAAGGCAAATCTAGGACTTGTACTCAGCTTTGTCTAACATTAAAGCTTCCAATCATTTTGGTACAACACACTGCCTCTCCCTAGGATTTTAAAATATTTTATTTATTTATTTTTGCATGCGCGCGCGCGCGAGGTGGGGGGTGGGGAGCAGAGGGGCAGAAGGAGAAGCCGACTACCCGCTGAGCCCGATGTAGGGCTGGATCACAGCACCCTGGGATCATGACCTGAACCAAAAGCAGGCGTTTAACCGACTGGTACCCTCTCCCTAGGATTTTTAAGTAGTAAGTCTCTTTAAAACAAAAACTTTTTTTCTATACCAAGTGAGAAATATGGGCATGGATTGAAAGTTTACTAATCTGTTCTGTCTGGCTCCTGGGCAAATAAACAGGTGACAGTGGGAAAGGTTACAAAGGAAATAACTAATAAAAATAGATTAAAAATAATAATATGAAATAATATAAGAAGGTTAAAAAAAACAACGAATCAATGGATGCTAGGTCACCTTCTATCAATGACTTAGGAATATACAAAGAAAAGAGGCTCTCAGAATGTGGTGGGGCTAATTAGGGAAAATGGTGCAGAAGAGAAGGAAGTCTGGAGATGGATTTTGAAAGAGATGATGGGCATGACTTGGCACAGCCTCTTATAAGGGGAGAATGGCTTGAAAGATGTGAAGTGGTTAGTATGGGGAAAATTTGTGGGAGGACACCTGGATTTAGAAAGACCAATGTGAATGGTATTTACCCAAGAGAAAAAAATGAGTGAGATAAAAATCAGATTAAATCGATAGAATAAAATCCTTGACCTACAGTGTCTCTTCCACAGAAATGCAGGAATATTAACTGAAAGTGGCTTATTTAAACAATATGATCACAAATTTAAATCAGCCTCATTGTTGGTAAAACTCGTCCCCCAAAGTAAAAGCAATCCTCAAAAGATAAAAATAAAATACAAAACGGGGCGCCTGGGTGGCTTAGTCGGTTAACGTATACCGCTCAGCAGGGAGTCTGCTTCTCCCTCTCACTTTCCCTCTGTGTTCTCCTGCTCTCTCTAATAAATAAATAAATAAAATCTTTAGAAAAATAAATCACAAGAAACAGCTTTGAATTAATTATGTAAACACCTGCCACATTTTTTTTAAAGTAAGGTGTCCATTTGGATCTGGTTCTGAGGACAAATCCCAAATATGTTTGCAAAAGAGGTACTGGATTCAACTTAGAGATTAGTGTTATGAAAGGGGAAGAAAATGGGAAGTTTTTCTGCATTAGCAGAATTACTGCATTAGAGAATTGTTGAGCTCAAAGACATAGTTCTTTCTGCAAAATGGTGGGTCCACATTTGCATGGGCACGGCCTGTGCCTAGAAGAAATAATTTGTGATGGACCGGGCGCCAGCTACAGAGGAATCTCTTGGGAGAACACCTACTCTGCTTGCTGAGGGGCACCAAGTTTCTGGACAGGATGCTGACCATACTAGGAAGCACCTGGAACCCAGTCCTCTGGCTGCTGTTGCCCAACCAGAAAGTAGCAACTGCTCAAGACGGTGATTTCAGCAGATGCTCAGGAGGGTTGCTGAACTTCTGATTTCAAATCTTATTTTGTGATGGCTTCCAATCTGTCTCTTTACCAATATGACAAAGTAAAGCAATTACTAAAATGTCAATGCTCCTAGCCTTTTCCAAAGAGAGGAATGCTGTCTTTTCCTACTTAGTCTTTTGTCCACATTCCTTGATGCCATGGTCTGAATATTTGTGGACCCCTCCCGGCCCCCAGATTGATCTTTTGAAATCCTAATGCTCCAGGTGATGGTATTAGGAGATGGGGCCTCTGGGAAGTGATTAGGTTAACCAACACCCTCATGAATGAGATTAATGGTCTCTTAAAAAAGAGGCCTGAGGAAGTTCCCTGGCTCCATCCACCATGTGAGGACACAGAGAGAACTCGGCAGTCTACAACTGGAAGAGAGCTCCCATCAGAACCCAAACATATTGGCAGTTCTGATCTTGGACTTCCAGCCTCCAGACCTAGAGGCAAAAAGTTTTCTATTGTGTATAAGCCACCCAGTCTATGATATTTGGTAGCCGCCCAAATGGACAAAAGACACCTGACCTTTGAGGAATACCTGTCCCTTTTATGCCCAGCTCCTGGACTTCCATGATGAAAACAATTGAAGAAAACAAAGGAAGAAAGAGAGATCCATGAGAAAGAAAGGATTGGGGAAGACAAGCTATATTGATTTACATGATGAAGCTGAGTGAGGGAAAAATATTCCCTCATCGGCAGAATATTGGTAAAGGTATTTTGTGAGGTGGGGAGGGGTTTAGCTAAGTGAGAGGGTTCAGAGAATTGTGGAATATGAGAAGAACAAGAAAGGGATTGTGAAAAGTTTTGCTAAAAGTATGAGTTGGTTACTCTAACATTTTCCAACAAGTTTAATGATATTGAAGTTTAGGATCTCCCTCCCTTTTTTCAAAATTATTCTCGGGCGCCTGGTTGGCTCAGTCGGTTGAGCGACTGCCTTCGGCTCAGGTCATGATCCCAGGGTCCTGGGATCGAGTCCCACATCGGGCTCCCTGCTCTGCGGGGAGCCTGCTTCTCCCTCTCCCACTCTCCCTGCTTGTGTTCCCTCTCTCGCTGTGTCTCTCTCTGTCAAATAAATAAAATCTTAAAAAAAAAAAATTATTCTCAGCTGCTCGGTTGTATTTATTTGAAAGTGATATCTTTCAGAGACTGGATCACATGGAAGGAGGGTGTACAATGGTTACACAGATTCAACTTTCTGAGTGCCTAATGTGGTCCTAGAACTATTACAGGTACCGGCTCATTTTACCCTTAAGACCATCCTATGAGGGAGATAATGTCATATCTATTTTATAAAGCAGCAAAAGCTTAGAGAGGCTCTGTGAGTTACTTAATTTTGTAAGTGTAAGTGAAAAAGTCACAATTTGAGCCCAGTTTTTCTGACCCCATGAGCATTCCTTTTCGCTCGAGCCTCATCACAGTATTCTATTTGTTCATGACAGATAGAAAGTGCTGATGAAGAATCATGACTTCTCTTCAAGAGAGAAAAGCAGAGTATGCTGGTGTGAATACCTGTGAACATTTCTAAACTTGCACACACAAGTTTAGAAAGATGATGCTCTGAAACTTCACCTGCTATTGGATTGTGTCCAGACCTAGTGTCATTAATTTATTTGTCAACTAAGAGCAACTGGGCCTCCTTGGACAAGCCCTTGCACCTGCTGTATAAATTTCTTCTACTTGGAAGGAACACAAACCTGAATGATTCTCTAAAAGCACAGACTGTTACTAAAGTTTTTGTGAATCCAGAAAAGGGAATTACATTGTGTATCACTCTTTTTTTTTTAAGATTTTAGTTATTTACTTGAGATAGAGAGAGTGAGAGAAAGAGCACAAGCTGGGGGGACAGGAGGAGAGGGAGAAGCAGGATCCCCACTGAGCAGGGAACCTGACTCAGGGCTCGAACCCAGGACCCTGGGATCATGACTGAGCCACCCAGGTGCCCCCCCATTGAGTATCACTCTTAAACATCTGTTTCTCCAATGCCCTACATCCTATGGGAGCTGCCATTTCTTTTTCTCCCAAACATCCCCATTTTCCCATCCACCATATTTTTGTCCACACCAGTGGGGAAAAACCTCCACCCCCAGAAGGTCCACCTGTACATTTTCTCATGCAAAGAAATTAGGTCTTTCTTTTTTGGCTTCTGTCATTAGCAACCCCAACAG